GCTATGCTCATATGTTGTAAAATCAAGATTACTGTAGTTAGGGGAACCTGGGTGGCTCAATCAGTTAAGCGTCTGATTCTTGGCTTCTGCTCATGTCATGATCTTAAGGTTCATGAGATCAAGCCCCGTGACAGGCTGCATGCCAAGAGTGGAGCCTGCTTAGGATTCTCTCTCTCTCTCTCTCTCTCTCTCTCTCTCTCTCTCTCTCTCTCCCCCTCCCCCACTCACATGTGTGTTCTCTCTCAAAATAAATAAATAAACTTAAAAAAAGATTACTGTAGTTAATCTCAGATTTTAAAATGGAAAGGCTGAGTTTCAGTAAAGCTGTTAGTGAAGTTACATGTAGAATGTATCTAAGTAAATGCATAAACTACACCAGGAGAAGACAATGAGCACCAACTAAAAGTTTAATTAATTCTTGTTATTGATTTATTTAACAAATTGGCTGATTGTTTAACCCTATAGGAAAAGCAAGGTTATAGTAGCTCAAAAAAATAATTTCATAAGTCGCTTCATATAAACATCCAATCATAAACAGGCTTTTTTCCATAAAATTATTAATTATAATAAACCACTTTACAAATTAACAGTTGCCTGTTATGTAATGTGTTTAAAAGTAAGTCTTGGCTCATTGAAATTTAAACAAATTGGAGAGGTTGTTATTTTGGGGAGAGGTGTTAAGTGGCCTCAGGGTCTTGAATACCATCACATTGGATTTATTTATTCCTCTATGGTTTAAAACTTCCAGAGATGAGGTATAGAATTATACCTTGTTTTACCAGTGAGCAAAAGAAATCTGGACATGCACATGAGAATATACTTTCACAGAGACTTAATTTTAAATAGGAATTGGAAAATTCTGCCAACTGAATTTTATTAAAGGCAGAGCTAAGTCTTGGTTGCTTGACTAAAATGTAACTATTTTAATACTAGTACTCATCTAAGTTATTTGGCAAAGGAATAGCAAATAGAATATGAAGAAAAAGAACACAATGGTTAGTAATACACATTCCTGCGATACTTTATTTTACAGATTATGTATATGTAGATGTCATGAGTTGGAGCAATAATATCTTCTACTCTTTTGCTTAAAAGATTTTCTCCTATATTTCTCCTAAATATATACATTTTTTATTTAAGTTTAGGTTTTGAGCATATTTGCTAGAGAGACGATTTCCCCTACAATGTGAGGTTGTATCACATTCCAAGAAACAAAGGTGATGTCATTCTTTGGAGCAGCACCTGCCAGGCAGCCTCCCATTCAGGCTATTGCCTAAGATGCAGGAGGAAGTCAAGCAGTAGCAGGTTTTTCCACCTGTGCAATCCTTTGGAGCTGTGACCCCCAAGGCAACTGTAAAACCCACGTGTTAGAATAATTTAGATCTCTTGTGATAGACTGTGTAAACAAGCAAACAAAGGCCAAACTTTACATGATGAAGAACTCTAACCCACAAAAGAAACTTCTCCAGCAACCATTTTGGAATAGTCAGGCCTTACTTGCTCAATGGCTATCAATCTATTTTTGCCTCCACTTCCAACCCAGGACAAACCAGAAAAATCCAAATATTCTCCCCAAACCAACCACATAAGATGTTCCATTTCTAGTTATTCCTTCTCCAGCTTCCTCTTACAGAAGTCTCCCTGTTTTGTCCTTGTAAAGCTTTTCCTCACCCTGGCTTCTTTTGAATGGTCTCCTTTTTGTAGCAAGTTATCATGTGGGTAGTCTTCCTTTACTTCCACATGTGGATGCTTGTGTTGACCACCATGATTAATTTTTTTTTTAAGCATAAAACAAAATCAAAGTTCAGCCACATACAATACACTTTTGTAACCACATGAGAACTTTGGACTCCCAGCTGTGTGTGAGAGGAAAATGATTCTACTTCAAAGGATATAAAATGAAATCTTCAATAAGTTGACTTTTAGAAATACTTGCCTGATTGTGCTTCTATATAAGTTATCAATTTAATTTTAACTAAGTACAAATCGACATGCACTATGACTCCATAAAACATATAGATAGATCTATAGATGTATAGATAGATCTGTATCTATCTATAGATAGATCTATCTATATACATCTATATACATATCTATCTATATCTATCTATATACATATCTATCTATCTATATCTATATATATCTATCTAGATAGATAGATATAGAAAGAGAGAGAGAGAGAGAGGAAGGAGTTATGGGGAAAAGGACAAGGGTGTTCATTTTCTAAAATAGGTTTTCTTGGGGCACTGGGGTGGCTCAGTCAGCTAAGTGTCTGACTTCTGCTCAGGTCACGATCTCACTGTGAGATCAAGGCCCGCATCCGGCTCTGTGCTGACAGCTCAAAGTGTAGAGCCTGCTTCAGATTCTGTGACTCCCTTTCTCTTTGCTCCTCCCTCCCCTGCTCACGCTCTAAAAATAAATAAAAATTTTAAAAAAAATTTAATATATTTTCTACAATAAATATGCTCCTTCTGCAATTAAAAAAGAAACTTTTAGAAACATTTCTGATTTCCTTAAATCTCTATATAGAGTTAACCCTTGACAGGGTTTGAAATGTGTTCACTTACACCCAAATTTCTTTTGATTAATACATTATAGTACTATAAATGTATTTTCTCTTCCTTGTGATTTTCTTAGTAACATTTTCTTTTTTCTAGCTTACTATAAGAATACATAATATATAACATATACAACATACAATATATGTGTTAGTCAACTTTCATAATATTGGTAAGGCTTCTGGTAACCGGCAGCTAATTAGTAGCTAAGGTTTTGGCTGTTGAAAAGTTATAATGCAGATTTTCATCTGCAAGGGGAGTTGTTGCCCCTAACAACCATGGTGTTCAAGAGTCTGTATATAAACACACACATACACACACACACACACACACAAATATATTTATATCTATTTGTTCTCCAACGGAAACACTTCTTCAAAGTGCATAACCACGTTAAGTGTTATTAAAGTATGTATATTCCTTATATCTCAAGAGAAGCACTTTGGATACTGAGTAAGACCTAACAATCAATCTCTAATGCAGAGTTTAAGTAAATTAGTTTCCACCCTTCTCAACCACTTTTCCCCTTTTTATGAAACCATTTTTTTTTTCCTGTAAGTAATTCCTTTCTATTGGTTTTGTGAATGGCTCGAGAGGTAAGGGAGGGGGCGGGGAACAGAAGAGAAGCATTACGAAATGGCCATACCTCTGTACACCCATCCAGTCCATCCCCTTTCCTTCCAAGGACTAGGTCTTGCCCATTGCGTCCCATATTTTGGGGATTTCCAGTCCGCTCCAGATTCTTCCAAAACCCAGAGGCATCCCATCCTGAAACACTGATAACAAATCTGTCTGTGGGTTCTGCATCCTCCACCCGCCCCATTTTTGCTTGGAATGAACAGGAACCACTGGACTAGAATATACCGTTCTCAGTCCTCCGGGAGATTTTAACCAAAAACTTCAGCACCTAAGGACCCGCAAAGCGACGCGCTAGGGGCTCCAGTACGACCACCCGCCGATCTCATGAATTCGGGGTAGTAAGTTGATCCGGGTCCCCAGTGAGGTGCCTCACCCCCTCCTCAGCGATGTCCGGAGCGCACAGAAGCAAGGCCCAGCAGTCCTGGGACAAGTTGAGACTGAGCCGCGTCACGCGCTGGGAGTCCCAAGCCTGGAGGCCCCGCCCACAGGCCGGTGCAGCCAATCGCGGCGCGAGCAGACCGTAAGGGCGGGCCAGGCGTGCAGAATTCCCGAGGCCTTAAAGGCTGAGTCAGGAGCAGCTGGGCCACAATCCCCGGCCTCGGCGATCTGGCAAGGGTTGTGTGTGTGTGTCTGTGGAGTGCGCCTGCGCAGCTGTGGACGCCGTAGGTCAACTTCTTGGTCTGGGGACCGGTACTGGAGGAGGGGATTCACCCCAGGGCACGGGCAAGTGTGGGGCGCGACCCGCGGGAATAAAAACATCTACTTGCCTGGAGTTGGTGAGGCTGAGCCGACGCTGCCTGGATCCTGTAAGCCTTGAAGATGGGAAGTGGGGGCAGGGCGGTTCGGGGAACCCAGGGCGACACTGAGACCACGGGGAGGTCCTAGGCTGTGCAGGAGTCGGTCCGTCTCAGGGCCGTGGCGGGCACAGGTCTGGCAGCCGGGGCCCCACGGGACTGGGCCTGGCCAGGAGGTACAGGGCAGGCTGACCTCCGCAAGGGCTGTGGGGCCCGGCGCTCCCTGTACCTCGGTCTGTGAACATCGTCTGGAAGCTGAGGGAGGCGAGCGGGGCGGAGAGCCTCCGGCCTGGCCCCGCCTGCAGTGTCCCTCTGGGCCAGGCCCGAGAAGGTGCTCTGAACTCCGGGAGAGCGTGGCCCTGTCCCGGTCGGGAACTGGGGCTCTGGACGCCCTCTTGCCTCGTGATTTCTTCCTCAGTTTGGGGGTAGTTAATGGCGGTGCTGGCGGCAGAGACCAAATGTGGGGACAGCAGAGCACTGGGTGCAATCCTGCCCACCTTCTGGGAAGGTCTTTCAGAAAGCTTTCAATGCAAGAAGCATGTCTCACCCCTTGCTGTATATTTGTCAAAAGAAAGATGTGAGGTGGCTACCTAACCCCTGGGGATCCCTGTCCCTACTTGGGATCAGGTGTTCTGATAAATAAGATTTCCTGGGTCACCTCGGTATTTTCAGTAAAGAACTTGGACCAACAGCTTCTTAGTTGCCTTAAGATTCTGAAACTCTGATCAAAACCTAAATTATCATTGCACTATTACAATGAAGTCTGTTTCAATTCCTATAGCACTTGTCAGCCTGTTTTTAATTTTGATGGCTGAATCATATACCTCCAAGTCCTTGGCCTGTTTTTCTCCACCCACATCCTTAGCCTTCTTCCAGGGATCTGTAAATATTTGCGAAGGTACTTTAAATGTTTTTACTCTACAACATCTCAGGAGAAAATAGGATGGCTTTTTTAAAGGATTGGTCTCATCAAATACTGATTTCATTTTCCTTTCTAGGTTTTTGAAACATGAATTCTTCACTCTTCCTGACTGCCCTTTGCTTGGGAATAGCCTCAGCTGCTTCAAAATTCGATCAAAGTTTAAATGCACAATGGTACCAATGGAAGGCAACACACAAGAGATTATATGGCATGGTAGGTAACATATGAAACTGTCCAAAGGGGCCCCCAAAGAGAAAGAGTCCCTTGCCATTGGGAGTTTATAGCCAGAGAGTAGCATGTAGAAGTCAGCTTTCACCAAGGCAATAACTTCATCGCACCCATTATTGAGCACAATATGGGGCATAATTCCTGTTGTGTTGTTGCTAGAGAACAGCTCCCAGAAATATAAGCCATCCTGGGCCATGGTTTTTTTCCCTGTCTGCAAATCCACTAGGTGAAGATGGGCTGGTTTTAAGTAGGAATAAAGATGGTAAGTTATATATTTGCCTCTAGAATGAAGAAGGATGGAGGAGAGCAGTGTGGGAGAAGAATATAAAAATGATTGAACTGCATAACCGAGAATATAGCCAAGGGAAACATGGCTTCACAATGGCAATGAATGCTTTTGGTGACATGGTGAGTGTCAGCGTGGATTGCTGTGCTTTTTGTGCTTCCTGTCCTCTGTACTTTAGCAAAATAACCTCTTGCCTTTTCAACATTTTACTTACTTTTCCTTAAAGACCAATGAAGAATTCAAGCAGCTGATGAATGGTTTTCAAAACCAGAAGCACAAGAAAGGGAAAGTGTTCCAAGAACCTGTATTTGCTGAGATCCCCAAATCTGTGGATTGGAGAGAGAAAGGCTATGTAACTCCTGTGAAGAATCAGGTATGATAATATTTAGCGGATCTCCTTCCAAGAATAAAGCCAAAAAGGAATTAGTGTCCTTGCTTTGGTAGACAGTGGAGTTTGTTTTGTTTTGTTTTGTTTTAAGAATATTCGGGTATATGGGTTATTGTGAATCTTTGTATTTATCTTATAAACTGATAACTTTTTTATTTTCAGGGTCAGTGTGGTTCTTGTTGGGCTTTTAGTGCAACTGGTGCTCTTGAAGGACAGATGTTCCGGAAAACTGGCCAACTTGTTTCATTGAGTGAGCAGAACCTGGTGGACTGCTCTCAGCCTCAAGGCAATGAGGGCTGCAATGGTGGCCTAATGGATAATGCCTTCCAGTATGTTAAGGAAAATGGAGGCCTGGACACAGAGGAGTCTTATCCGTATCTTGGAAGGGTAAATGGAGCTCCTTATCTTGTTATTCCAGCTCAGCTTTTGAAAGCTGAACATTTTCAAAGATAACAGACACTTTACTCAGCATTCACATTTTAGATGCAAACTGACAGAACTGTCACTATAAATTATCAGCCTTAGCACAGGTTCTCTGATTAGATGGTTAGCACACAGCTGTCCTTAATTCTGTGTAACTTGGAGGCTTTTTATACACCATTCTGCACATAATTTCTGCATAGTGAAAAATTTCTTATGGACAAGTAGGCCTAAGGGGTTTCACTGAAGATAACATCTGCTAAGTTTTCAATTTCAAATCAGAAACATTTGGCTATTAACTCACAACAAAGCTGACTTGGAAATCATTAAGCTGCAAACTGCTGAGTCTTGAGGTCCTAGAACTGGAGGTGTGGATGGTAGTGATCAAGTTTCTTTCCCATTTACCTTTAAAAGGACTCAGAGCCCTGTAACTACAAGCCTGAGTGTTCTGCTGCCAATGACACCGGCTTTGTGGACATCCCTCAGCGGGAGAAGGCCCTGATGAAGGCAGTGGCAACTGTGGGGCCCATCTCTGTTGCTATTGATGCAGGCCATCAGTCGTTCCAGTTCTATAAATCAGGTAGGTGTTTGTATTTTTATTATAGAAGTTCAGGCAGGCAAAATTGGAAAACAACACCATAATTGTTTGGTGTTAGGTTTGGAGTCCTGCTTTCCAAGACTGTAGAATTTTGAGTGTGTGCATTTAATATAGTGATGTTTCCATTTGACATATTTTAGACATTTTCTCATGACAAGCTCTCCTTAAGTATTTTTAAATGGCTGTGTAATTCTTTAAATACAAATAATTGATGTAAGTATTCTCCAGTTGTTGGACCTTTTTTCCAAATAATGTTTACTATTGAACTGTAAAGAACCCTGTGGCTCAAGTGTTATTTTATAGTGTGCTCTTTCCTTAGTTGGCATTTTAGAAGTAGAAAGGATTATGCTAAGTAATATTAGTAGAAGTAGCTAAATCGTCTTAGCCTTGATAACTAGATCTTATTATTGGAAATCCTTTTCGAATAGAAAATATTTTGGGTTTAGTGGAATTTTGTTGATTTCTAGTGAGTTGAGTTTATTAGTTACCATAACTATTTTTGGTAAATATTTAAGCTTTATATGTAATTTGCTAATGGCATTTCATTGAATTTTGAGATGTCTCTTAACCGTGGTAGATAGGGTAAGTTACAGTCATGTGTCAATTGAAGCTTCTCACCCCAAATTTTACTCCTATAGGCATTTATTATGATCCAGACTGCAGCAGCAAAAACCTGGATCATGGTGTTCTTGTAGTTGGCTATGGCTTTGAAGAAACGGATTCAAGTAAAAAATTTTGGATTGTCAAGAACAGGTATAAAACTCCAAATGTTATATATTAAATTGAAAAGGGAGTGCTTGTTTGGAATCAGTATTTGATTTCAAATCCAAAACTCATTTTGAAATCCCAGAACTTAGAGTGAACACTCTTGACATTTTTTATAAGGGTAAAATGTACTGATGTTTGATTACAGGATTCTGTAGCAAGCTTGTTGGACTTATTATTACATATTTATAACATTGCATTTCCAAATTTTGAAAACTTTATTCAGAAACACATCTGGCCCCAAGAGTTTAGATAAAGGATTTTGCACCTGTAAGGTTAAGGGCTGGTTTCCTTTTTTGTGTCCAGTTTTTCAACAAGGTATACTGAGCAGAAACAACTGCTGACTCTTTTAACTCTGAAGGATTTTCTAAGAGTCCAGTGGGCTCTGTATGTCCTTCCTGTTACCATTTGTTGCCCTGCCATTTTATTCTATTTCCCAATTCCCAGAGGCTTTGAGGTCCTCTGGATCCGTTTTCACTGCTAAAGTTCTTTGAGAGGGGGTATAAGATAGCTTGCAGAAACAAACTGCTACATTGGAATCCTAGCCCTGCCTCAGTTTCCTATCTTAAAAAGTTACGGACCTGTGGGAATTGATATACTTACCAATATATGTAATAGCACTTAGAATAGTGCTTGATAGCACCTGATATGTGGAAAGCCCTATTTTAAGTATTAGCTATTACTAATGAAGCTAATATGTACTTGATACTTTGTATAAAACAAAAAACATCTTCTTTTTTCAGTTGGGGTCCAGAATGGGGCTGGAGTGGCTATGTAAAAATGGCCAAAGACCAGAACAACCACTGTGGAATTGCTACGGCAGCCAGCTATCCCACTGTGTAAGCTGGTGGATGGGGATATTAGAGGACTTAAGGACAGCGTATCTGGAGGAATTTTTATCTTAAAACTGACCAAACCCTTATGTAAGATAAGACACTTGAATCAGTGAAGATCCAAGTTGTGATTTGAATTCTGTGACATTTTTATAAGGGTAAAACTTTACCACTACCTTAATTGCTGTTATAAATAGCTTTATAATGTTGAAGACTCATTACTTAATTCTAAGACTTTTGAATTTTAATTTTTTCAAAGGATATATAAAACTTTACCTTTTAAAATAAATTTTAACTCAACATGTAGAGGTGGAACTTCTCTGTTTTCAATGCATTAACTTTTTGTGTAGTTATAAAATCTAATTGGGCTATAAAGATATAACTGGATATGCCAGTGGTGTATTAGAAGGACGCTGGGTGGTTCTCAAGATTTTCTAATTAACAAATATGCAGATTTTATGTCAGCTGCCTATTGGCTGTGTTGACCCAACCCTGAATCTAGCAAAACATAACAATCTGGAAGGGCAAAGGTAAATTGTTTTAATAATTTAACAATTCACTCTTTAGGAAAGTGAGAAGACATTAAGATCTTAGGTTTTAGACACTAGAAAAGGAGATCCTCTTCCTTTGACTCAAGATGGTTAAAACCTAGTAAGGTTATGGGAAAAAAGTCTCAGAGCCAGTTACTGAAGCATCTCCTTGAATTGCTGGTAAAGACCATGTGACTACTTTGCAGTTGAATAAGGACCAGATTCTGGATTCCCAAGTCTGTTTTATCTTTGTTCTGCCAAGTCTCTGATGGCTTTCACATAACTCTTCTAGGAAAAACCTCATTTGTTGCCTAGTGTTAGCAAAAGTATATTTAATGTCTATGATGAACAAGTCTCTCATGTTTGATAGTAACTGGAAAAATGTGTTAAAGATCCACAAGAGATGAGTGTGGACTACAAAAATAGGCTTCTGGCCTAGGAAGATCACTGGGTCAAAATTGGGGGCTTAGCTAGCTACGTAATCTCTGAATTAAAACTAAACTTGGAAGGGAAAAAGCAGCCTAAGCATATGGTTGCACAGGTAGTAAATACAAATAAGACAATATATTTGTATATTTAAAAGGTGGAAAGAAAATATGCCAAACTTTTGAGTGGGTTATGGATGATTATTTTCTTTAACCTGTTCCACGGAAGACATGTATTTTTATTAGTAGGGGGAAAATTGTGAAAATATACCTACATTCTGCAGGCCAAAGAAGCAGGTGTATGTGTGTTTAAAAATCTCATGCTCCCAATCAATAAGAAAACACAAGGACTAAGCTGGTGAAATATTTAATATAGCCATAGTCAATTATGAAGGGAATGAGAGACCGAAGACAACTGGAACCTTATAGCCCACAAAACCTTCAATAATTTTTGTCCATACATCAATATAATGTACCATATTCAATCTGAGTTTTCTCTAAGAAAGGATTCCTTCGGGGCGCCTGGGTGGCGCAGTCGGTTAAGCGTCCGACTTCAGCCAGGTCACACGTCCTGCCAGTCGATGAGTTCGAGAGCCCAGCGAAGTGAACTCTGGGCTGTTGGCTCAGAGCCTGGAATATATTTTCGATTCTGTGTCTCTACTCTCTCTCTGCCTCCCCGGAGTTCTTGGCTTGCTCTGTCTGTCCCAAAATAATAAATAAGCGTTAAAAAAATTAAAAAAAAAAAAAAAAAAAGAAAGGATTCCTTCATCTTGCTTTGCAACAGCAGGCTAACTCAGTGGTGTCCACAGAATCCTGGAACAACTCAAGACTCTAAGGAAACATCTGGGTGCTAAACTGAAGGGAAGCATGATGGCTTTGTATTTTAAAAAGTTTCAAGTCTGTCAAAGCAGAGGACACCTCAGATGTCTAAAGTATTTGTTTTTGTAACTTCCAAAGACCTTTATATTTTAAGTTGTGAAAAGTTCCAAACCACATCTATCATCTAAAAGAATTTCAAAGGAGCCAATAGACTTGAAATAAAGAGAGCTGGAAATAAATTTTATCACTACAAAATCTAGTCTGAAGAACAGGTTACCAGTATTTCCTATAGTCCAGACATCCAAATAGTTACTTATCGTAGTTAATATTTCAGAGGAAGTAAGGAAAAGTGAGACAATTTGGCAAGTTATGAGGGAGGAATTGGCTTATGTGGATTTGTAGCTGTAACACATGGACATCTTGTTAGGGGAGAGAATGGGCTCAGAGTATAGTAGTCCCTCCTTAATTGCAATTTTGCTTTCCATGGTTTTAGTCAACCACAGTCCAGAAGCAAATGATCCTCCTTTTGACAGGTGAGTAGGAGGTCAATAGTAGACTGATGCTATATCACAGTGCCTGTCATTCACGTCACTTCATCTCATCACATATTATATATATATGTGATTATATGTGATATATATATATATATAAAATCACCTCTCACATCACAAGAGGAATGAGTATGTACAATAAGATATTTTGACAGAGACCACATTCACCTAACTTATTACAATATACTATAATTCTATTTTCATGTTGATTTTATCCTATGCCTAATTTACAAATTAAATTTTATCATATATGTATAGGAAAAAACAGTGCAGTTGATCCTTGAATAACGTGGGGCCTAGGGGTGCCAACCCTATCCCCATCTCATGCAGTTGAAAATCTGTATAACTTTTGAATTCCCGAAGTCTCTTTTTGACTCCCCAAACCTTAACTACTAGCTTACTGTTGGCCAGAAACTTTACCAATAATACAATTAACATGTATTTTAGATGTTATACGTATCATATACAGTATTTTTACAATAGAGAAAAATGTTAAGAAAATCATTAGGAAAATACATAACTGTAAAAGAATCCACGTGTAAGTGGACCTACATGCACAGGATAAGCCGTATGCTTAAACCACTGATACCACATTGCATATATATAACTTCAGATAACATTTTTGAGATATAAGTCTGTAAACTTATATGTAGAAGCATATTGGAATACTCCTGTGCTTAACTCACTGAAAGTACACTTTGTACAATATATCTTTCAAGTGACATTTTCATTAAAATACAAGGGTTTGTAAACTCTTGTGTAGAAGCATGTGAGAGTAGCATCATGTTTAACTCATTAAAACTATACTGTATAAAAAAAAGTGGGCCTACACAATTCAAACCTGTGTTGTTCAAAGGTCAAACGAGTGTGAGTTTGGTACTATCTGCAGTTTCAGGCATCCACTGGGAGTCTGGGAATGTATTACCCACAAATAAGGGGAAACTACTGTAATTAGAAAACTCATTTTTTGCACTTAATTTTCATCACCATCTCCAAGGTATACTTACAAAATCTTAAGCAAGTATAGACTTCCCTATTTCTGTTAGTGATTTATGATTGATGAAAGTTACAGTTAAGTTACAGTTAAGACCACATTTATATGTTTTGCCTATAAAATTTGAAATTGGCTGTTTCCTAAACTCAGTTACCTTTTGGCTGATATAAAAATCTAAAACAAAAAACTTGTGGGAGTTTAAAGAAAAGCAAGTATTAGTGTATATATACATGTTTACATACATACATATGTATGTATGTGTGTATGTGTGTTTATCTCCCATCACTTTACAGAATTTCAGAAATGTTCATGGTCATCACTATTTTTAAATAACTTAATAAGAAACTATTACCAAGAGCTGCTCCATGGTCTCTTTTCTCAGTACTACATATTAAAACTTTTGTAGTTAGTATATTTCCTCATTCAACTGTGCTGTCGGTTCTGGGGACACAAGAACAAAGGTATAGTCACAGGCTGTCTCTTGTGGAGCTCACATTCTCATTGCTGAACCCATGCATAACCTCCATCTTTTACCGTAGCCACCATTCATGAGCTCATTTGCAATCACAGGAGTGGCTGGGGAAAGAATGACTGGTAGTCACAGAACAGGTCATTTTATTCACTTGATTTACTGAGGTTACCTTAGGTGAGCATTTACATGGGACAAAAATATAGTCATGCTTTTTGCCCATTCAGAGAGCTCTATTCACACACCTCTTCTCTAGGTCTCTTTGTCAGCAATTTTCCAACCATGTTTCTTCCAAGACCCTGATAATCCAGCCAAACCATGGTTACAGCTCATGAATTAGTATATAATAGCACTTCTGGCCATTTTTCCTTCCAAGCAAAATGAACAACCAGATGTTCAACGTTCTGCTCACAGGGAGGATTTCCCTTCACCACTGTCCTTTAGGGATGTCCCAAAAAGGGGTCATAGTGTGCTACAGTTGTCCACTTCAGTTAGTGTCTGCATATCACATAGAACCATCTATAAACGAGCCCAAGCTTTCTCTTCCTCAATCAACTGATTTTAGAGAATGCCCTGTGAGACCATAGGTTGAGGCTGGGAGCGAGAAGGCAGGAGTGGGGGCCATGAGCATTTGGCCCCTTCCTAATGTAACTTCTGCCTTGAGGGCCTGCTTAGACCCAATCCCATATATACCACTTCTACTTAATGATGGAGTGCTGCAATGCACATTTGGCTTTGTGGCTTGGTGGGTCAGATAATACACAGTTCATGATGAGCAGCTCATGAAATTGGTGGCCCATTTTTAAGCATTTATTCTCTAATACCCAGTAGCCAAGCTAAAAGCTGTTTTTCGAAAGGAGAATAGTTATCTGCAGAGGATAGCATGACTTCACTCCCCAAATCCTTAAGGGTCTGCATTATTATTTGCCTATTGGAGCCTATCAGTGGCTCCAAACAGCATCTCTACTACTGATACTTCAAGCATCATTGAATCTACTGAATCATATGGTCCAAGGGGCCCAGCAGCTTGCATAGATAGCAGCCTGGACCTGTTGCAGCCTTATCTTGTTCTGAGCCCCACTCAAAATTTAACAGTGTTTTTGGGTTACTCAGTAAATGGACCAGAGTAGCATACTCAAATGAGGAATATGTTGCCTTCAAAATCCAAAGAGGCCCACTAAGCATTCTCTTTTTTGGTTATAGTGGAGCCAGATGCAACAAT